ATTAAACAATTTGTTAAAACAAGAACAGGAACATTAAACAATTTGTTAAAAGAAGATAAACATGAACATTAAACAATTTGTTAAAACAAGAACAGGAACATTAAACAATTTGTTAAAAGAAGATAAACATGAACATTAAACAATTTGGTAAAACAAGAACAGGAACATTAAACAATTTGTTAAAAGAAGATAAACATGAACATTAAACAATTTGGTAAAACAAGAACAGGAACATTCTGAAAACTGATTCTCTAACATATACTGTATATAAAAAAAAAACAGAGTTCATTTATTCAAATACTGATGTCAAAAAAACTTTGTTTCAAATGTGTTTGTGAACTCTTATGTTTTCAGGACATTTCTTAATGTTCACATCTCAACTTTTCCTCCTGTTTGACTTCTCTGTGTTCTAGGAGTCTTTGGAAACCACTGCTTTCTTTCTGGTGTGGATCTTCATGTGTCTGTTTAAGTGTGATTTAACTCTAAATCTTTGTTCACAAACATCACAGGCAAATGGTTTCTGTCCTGTGTGGATCCTCATGTGTGTGTTTAAATGTGATTTTTGGCTAAATCTTTGTTCACAAACATCACAAGCAAATGGTTTCTGTCCTGTGTGGATCCTCATGTGTGTGTTTAAATGTGATTTTTGGTTAAATCTTTGTTCACAAACATCACAGGCGAATGGTTTCTGTCCTGTGTGGATCTTCATGTGTCTGTTTAGGTGTGATTTTTGACTTAATTTATGTCCACAAAGTTCACAACCAAACGGTTTCTCTCCTCTGTGGATTTTTGTATGTGTTCAGATTTGCTTTACTAGTAAATCTTTTGCCACATTCGTCACATCTAAATGATTTCTGTACTGTCTGGACTTTACTGAGAGAAGGTACTTTTTTTTCTACTTTTGAACATTTCTTAGTAACTGAAACACTGGAAGACTTCATTTTTGACTCACTTTTCATGTGTCTCTCAGAGCAGCTCACAGATTTGTTGATGCTCTTTACTCTTGACTTAGGAAGCCTGCGCTTCCAGCCTTTGAAGCTGTTTTCAGTTTTTGATCCAAAATCTGATTTAAGTTTAAGCTGAAAATCAGGATTGTTCCCACCATCATCATCATCATTTCCCTCAGTCCCTGGAGAGTTGGAATCGTCTTCATCTGTATTCAGATGTGAGGACGGTAGTTTCTGGTCCTTCATCATCCTCTCCATCAGTCACTGGTTCCATCCAGTCAGATGAGCTGCAGGTTGGATGATCTCTGTCTTCCATTTTGGTGTTGATGAAGCTGTTTATCCTCATCACCATCATCATCATCATCACCATCATCATCACTGTCTTCAGTCTGTGAAGAGTCTAAATCATTTTCATAAGGATTCAGATCTTGCTTCCTTCTCTTGGCTCCTCCACAGTCTTCTCCACCAGTGGCTGTTTCCATCAGGTCAGATGAGCTGCAGGTTGGAGGATCTCTGTCTTCCACTTGGTGTTGATGAAGCTGAGACAGCAGAGGTTTATCTTCATCATCATCACCACTCTTCAAAGCAACTGCAGTGGAGGGAGACCTGGTGGCATCAGTCTCCTCTTTCACACTGAGCTGCTCTTCCTTCAGACTGGTGCAGGGCTCCTCCTCCTCCTCCTCCTTTATGTGGAGGGGCTGTGGGTTTTGTTGGTCCACACCAGACCTCCATTGTTCAGGAGCCTCTTCTGGAATCAACACCAGCTGTTGAACATCTGCAGGAAGCACTGAAAACATGAACACCATGAACAATTCACTTGTGTTTTTATTAAGTTCACAGCTTCACTGTCAAAACATCAAATGCTTGATGTCAGAAAACCTGAAACTAAAACTAAACTGAATGATTTTAAATGTTTCCTGATGACTGAAAACTTTGAACAAACTTTCTTCCAGCTATAAAGAATATCTGAGCTCCTCCTATAAGAACAACCTCCAGGGTCTCTGAGAGGAACCAGCTGGAGGAATCTTATCTGTGCCTGAAACTTGGTGAAAAACCAAAGGTGACCAAGCTTTTACTGTGACGGCTGCAAAGTTTCTGAATGAGCTGGTTGAAGTTTCAGTCATCACTTTAAACC